GGGCGGTGGTGTTTTTTTTTTATTTTTTTTATTTTATTTCCTCCTCCCCTCCCTCCTCCTCTCCTTCGTCCTCCCGTATGAAAGACAGTTCCCAAAACCCCCCCCCCCCCCCCCCCCCCAGTACGAGACCCTCTTGCCATTCAATATGTAAAGGCATTCTATAAAATCTGGTGGTCTTCTTATATGGGAGGGGGTTTAGTTATATGTTATACTTCGCTGGATCGGTGTAGAAATCGCTTGTGGAACAACTTGAATAATAGTAATGGTATAAAAGGCGCTTCAGCCCCATATTACCTATGAAAATTTGCATAGAACGAAAATAAAATGGAAAAGATGTAAACAACATAGATAATGTGTAAAAGTATACTAATTATAATATAACTTTACTTCATATGTGTTATGAAGTTTTAGTCGAGAAAAAAGAATAACATTAACAGTAAAAATGAAAAATGTAATTGATTTATTTCAGTTCATATGTAATATGCGAGTGAAGTTAAGAACAAAAAGAAATGCATGAATAGTAAATGCTGAATTAGCGAGAACATTCTTGTGTTCCTTCGTATACATAGAAAAAGCTATTAGTATGCGATTCCGATATAACAATTCTTGTTCAGATTTGGCTGGCGCAACGGTACACTTGTTTCTTGGTGGTAAAGTTTACATAATCCATAGATGGCGAAATTTTGAGGGTATATGTGTGTTCGAAAATTCTTTTTATTCAACATTCACATTCTCATTTTCGCGCACTCACCCATATCACATCCACACTCAAGCCCTGCAGGCAGATAAAGCGGAATGAACGCTAGGATTGATATAGTAAATCTAATTAAAAGCTTTTTTTCTATATTTTTAGTTTCAAGGTTGTGATTTATTTCTTATAATGTGTACGGAAAAGACACGTTGTTTTATCTATTATAAAGTTCATTTCTTTCTACACCATAGCACAATAAAAAAAATTAATGTGAAAATTAACATAATATATGTTCCAACGAGTAATCCAAATGCAATCTGATACATGAGCTTGGGACAATAAGTATATATTGTATGATCTTCATGTTGTACAAGAGGATAGATCCTCCATATAGCGTGGCTTACGACAAAGAAGTAGCAAGTAGCTACAAAACTCATGAAAGTAAAAACTAAACGAAAAACAACAGATAGATACGTCTTAGATAAATAGTTTAATAATTATAGATTTTACCAGCACACGCCTTTAATTCGGATGTTTTCGTTACTTTTACTTTTTGGCTGCCATCACTATACGTAATTGTCTTCGTGGAAACTTCAATCTTATCGTAACCAGACGCGAGGCGATGAACGAAAAACATTAAAAATAGAACAAAGAAGAATTCAGCAATTCCGGAACCAATAAGATTTGTTTTCATTCCTGGATAGATAGAACATATAATGTTACCGCTACCAACACCGACAGAAAAGTTAATGATTGGTATAATAAATGCCGGCGAAAAAGCGCAGAATAATTTACCTCGTGATCCCATTCTTTTTTGTCTGCTAGACGAATATAAGCAAAATAAGGATAGAATGTGGTAGCTTTATATTTATTCTTGTAACTTATGTTGACACATGACAGATAAAGAACATGGGAAATATGTAAACGTATCGTCCTTACTCCCGTTTTTATTCTTCGAAATTCAGCTTAATTGTGAGTTTGAGTATGAGTACGAGTGATATTTTAATATACGACGTGTAGTGCTAAACACACGCCTAACCTCACCTTCAGAACTACAGAATTATTCTGCTCATATACACACATCTTCCTATATGGAAGTAAAAGATTCATACTCTATTTCGCTTTCAAGTCTCAACTCAGAGTGATTTCTAATAATATAACAATTCGCATTTCTGGAAGGATGTTGGTTTCAAAGAAGGACATATTTATACATGTGCATATGCTATCTAGTGGCGGCGCCAAGGGTGGGCTAGGGTGGGCTCAGCCCACCCTGAAATTGTTTGAGCCCACCCTGACTTTGAAAAATTTCCACAGAAAACTAATATTTGTACTATAAAAATGTACGATTTCTATAATGAACCCACCCTAAAAAATTTTTCCATATGTTCAGCCCACCCTGAGTGAAAATTCTGGCGCCGTCGCTAATGCTATCTTGAGGGTGTGGGTGCGACCAGCAGTCATAATCTATAGATTTCACTGCAGCAACGCAGATCATTGGTGCTTTAGTTTCGTGTAGTTTATTTTTAGAAAAATCGAGAAAACAGAGAAGTGGAGGATTTTGTGATACTCTGGTCAGCCGTGTAACAATGTTATGGATAGTTGGGAATTTTTATATTTCCGACTTCTTATATAAATAATATAGTGTGTAAATGAGAGAAATCGTGTGAATGTTGAAAATTATAGTATATGTAAGCATTTGTGATGAGTTACAACGCTAGATAAGAGATTAGGATGGTTCTTCTAGTCTAACTGGCTTAGGACATCTGCCTGGATGGAAGGAGGTGCGGGCTGGAGTTCCACGAAGGTTACTTTGTCTGGATTCTTCTCTCTTTCGTTCTCTTTCGCTGATGTCCCTTTTGTGGAGCTGACAGTATAAGATTCATTTGATTTTGATGTGTATAGTAACTTTCGAAAACAAAATACTGAATTTTTTTGTAAAAAATATTTGAATTGTTTCTTCGTATATAAAATTGCTGCATCAATTTGTCTCACGGTTAGGACACGAAAAAAACACATGAGATGCCTAATTCGACTTATATTATAAGTCGATCCCCAACAGGCTAGTATCAATTCGAATGTAAATAGATATCTATATAACCCTTATAACAAATGACTAGATAGGAATAGAAATCGATTTAGTTTTAGTTATGCATATATACACTCACACCCTCACTTATATCTATCTCGATTGAGGGTGCCGGGTAGGGATCATCGGGACCACGGTTTTTTAGTCCCGATCCCGTACTGGTCCCGGTCCCGATAATCTTTAGTGAATACACTTATTTTTAACATAAAATATGACAGTCATTTCATTAGCACTCGATTATGCATTTTTTGGATCTCTGTGGTACTTGGTCCCGGTCCCAATACCGGTCTCGAGGCATTTGGTCCCGATCCCGTTCCGGTCCCGAGGCATTTGGCCCCGGCCCCGATGATCTCTAGTGCCGGGGTGGGTGTACACGCGGCTATATCATGATTGAGGGAGCTACGGTGGGTGTTGGTGATGGTATATATGCATAAGTAAAACTAAATCTATTTCTATTCCTAAACTCACAGGGGTGTGGGGATATATATGTATAAGTAAAACAAAATCTAGTTCTATTCCTGAACTCACAGGGATGTGGGGGTATATATGTATAAGTAAAACTAAATCTATTTCTATTTCTGAGGATGCTAGGAATTGGTCACTTATATTATAAGTCGAATTAGGCAGCTACTCAAAAAACATCTGTCCTGCACAGTCGCGGGTTAAGTGAGTCGGTACGATGAGCGTTACTTGTTGGTAAATATATAAAAATATATCTAGTAGACATCGATGATCATTAAAGTGAATTACCTTTACCTGTAATATTATAAAGATGATATATAAAGACAACGATCTAATATTAAATAATCAATTTTACTTTAGATTCAAGTCAAGATGACCTTATGAACTTTTGATAAAACTAAAAGTACGTCTAGTCATCAAAAAAAGAACCACATATTTTTCTCATATGAGCTCCTTTGTTTGTACAAGAAAGTAACTCCTTTCGATCTGTACATCACGACTACATTGAACACCAGTACGATGAAACTAAAACAACGAACAATTGTGTATGTAGGTAAATCGCATTGATTCATTTCGACTCTGAAGAAAGGCATCTACAGTATTATTTCGAAACATCAAGTCAAAATTCCTCAGTATCACTCATTTGTAAATGATCTTAATCATACCTTGTACATCTTTTCAGATATTCATATCAGCAGACAGTTCCATGAAGCTAACGAAACGAAAAAGAAAGTTAGATATTGAAAAATGGAAGGACACTGTTGTAGTAGAATATTTTTTTGACAAAAAAAATCGCTTTTCACATTTGATTAATTATTACCAGTCCTCATACCAATGCAATGAGGAAAGACCACACATTTCTGACATATTCATTCAAAGTTACCCGTCGTTCATCTGACTACTGTAATATTCAAAGAGAACAAAATAATCAAGACACTTTACTTAAACAAAAAGAGATAAATGGGTAACATTTTTCTTCGAGATACACAATGGCAAATCGAACACGTCGAATTCATTTGTTTGATTGTTCAAACGAAAAATGTGTGTTTTTATTCACAACATCACTTTTTTACTTACCATAATAGCGCTTTCAAACATTTAATTTCATCTTTCACAAGTTCCCTTCACCTTGATCATGAACACATTTTACTTCTTGACTTTATTCCACAGTATAAATCAAATCTCGAACTAGAATTCTAACCGAATATTTGACAAAAGATAAATTTAGTATCTGTTGATATATGTGATCAGATAAAATCTTATTCCATATAAGAAAGTTCAAATCCTTTCAAATTGGATCTGAAATGAATTCATTTTCATGCTTTATTATCTGTCAGTATTTTCGCAAGTGTCGGCAGCAGCGTAGTGTAAGACGAAAGTGTGTTGGATGGAAATAAACTTTGATTATATTTGCGTTTGATGTGAGTAGAACCGGGCCTTCGCTGAATGGTGAAAAAATCGACGAAAAACAAGCTTTCACCGAATGATTCGAGGTCAACTTTCGATTTATGTATTTAACAGGTTTTTTTTGGATACATTCGCTGAATACGTTTAATAATAATGTTTTGTTTGTTAGAAACGAAAAACAGACAGCGGGTATTCGCAAAAAATGATCTCTTTGACGTTCTCAAGGCAAAATATGTTGATTCAATCGTGCATAAAAAAATAGTTAAAAGTTGAAGCAAAATAATCATTCAATGTGTACATACAGACGCTTTGCTTTTCTTTCATAAACATTGTGTTACGCTCGATTAAAAATTCTTTGTTTTGATTACTATAGGGCACGACTTTCCGTGACAAAAGCATTTTTTCCCTCTTGATTTTGAGTTGCCGACACGCAGCTATAAATATAAGCATTTCATATCCATTTAGCCACTTGTTTTATTCTTTTGCTTATCGTTACACGATGGAAAAGATGACAGCAAAGCGAACTTTCAATATTTTCTTTGTGGTTTTGTTTCTATTCCATAATATGATTGATGGAACACATTTTCGAGGTGGTATTATTTCATGGTGAATATCCTTAATTACCGTATATATTTCTTAGTATATCTTTATTTCTAGGCGTCCANTAGGCATTTCATATACATTTAGTCACTCGTTTTCTTCTTTTGGACTTCGTTACACCATGGAAAAGATGACAACAAAGCGAACTTTCAATATTTTCTTTACGGTTTTGTTTCTATTCCATAATATGATTGATGGAACACATTTTCGAGGTGGTATTATTTCATGGTGAATATCCTTAATTACCGTATATATTTCTTAGTATATCTTTATTTCTAGGCGTCCATTAAACGCTACTCCATCTGGTACAACTGCACAAATTCTCATACACCAAAGATATTTTTGGTGGCGGCTATATTCTGGTTTCAACGGTTATCTATGTACAGAAGCAGATGTTACCGCCGGCACTACCATTCCAGTTTATGATGTTATGACATGTTTAATGAACTGCACAAATTCGAATTATCCCAGTGCTGGTCTTTCAACTGCCATGATAACCAGTGATTGTCAAAGTAACCCACTAATTCAGTCATGGGCCGGTGAAAAGTATGATTCGTTGCCTCTACTTTTAACAACATCAATTACAATTGGTTTTCAAGGAGGACAATGGCTGAGCAATCTTTATATAGGTGCTAATACGAATTGGTCGATTGTTAATCGATTGGACTTAGGCTTAAGACCTGATGGTTACATCAACAGCAGTCCTGTCACGAATACGCTACCTGTAATATTCTATCCAATAAATACACCAATTGTTCATATTGTCCAAATGGCAGATAATGATGGCACTGACATATTGAAATGTCGTTGGTCAGATAGCAATCAAACATACAATTACAATACAATAGATGAATGTAAGGGTGTTTGCTATGGATTACCTGCCGGATATGGATTAACTGGCTCTAATTGCACATTAACCTTCACTTTACCGCAAGATGGTATATATTATGCAATTGCTTTGCAAATTGAAGATTACTATGATAAATTATCTCCGAGTCCAATGAGTTCTGTTCCCATACAATTCTTACTTTTTGGATACATTCCTAGCAGTAACTGCACACGCCCTTCAATCATCGGTGTTCGTCCAAACAGAGGTATGAACAAGAATATTTTTATTCAAACTGAACTCACTCATATTTTATTGAATTTGTTTCAGCTTGTATTGGAGTGCCTTATAGTAAGTACAATTAATGATTACATTTTGTCATTTCGACTACTTTCAATTCGTATTCAAGATGTTCAATTGAATGAGACTATCATTGTACAAACGTATTGTCCTAATCAAACAATCGTTGATTTCGTCACTGCTTCACCATATGGAATGACACATAGTGGGATCAGCCATCCAAGTGCTGGTGAGTAATCGATTTTGACTCGTTAGAATGAGGCAAAACTTCGAATTTGACCAGATACGTGGGTTATGACATTGACATGGACACCCGATCCAGTTCAGGCTGGTCCCCAAAGCTTTTGTGCTGCTGCTGTTGATAACAATAATTTACAATCCGATTCATGGTGTATTACATACCTAGTTAATTATGATTCACCGGGTATAATTCGTCCTGAAGTTGTACAAGGATCCGCCAGCCCAGTTGGCACCGTCTTCCAAAATCATTCCATGTTTTATATACAAGGTAGACACTTTCAGTGAATATAGTACAGATATATTCGACATTTTCTTTCCCTTTATTTCCATTGTGTAGCAAAAGGTGAAGTTGGTCGTCCAACTCGTAATGGAACAAATGTCTGTTTTCGTAATTCAGCTACAAACATATCAGTTGTCTGTTACGATGCTGGATATGCACCCAATGTAATTTATACCGGAAATACAATTATCATTATCACAAATGTTACATGGACACCTGGACAGTTTTACTATGTCACAATGGACAGTGGATTTGCTAGTGGCAGTGTTTTCTGTCGTAAGTTTCTTTTATCATATCATTCTCTTTGTGTAATTAATGTGTCATATGAAAGATGCTGAATCAGCACCCGTCACTAATCCGACATTTTGGCGATACAATATCTGGGATCCGGCTGTTTCTAGTACGACAACAACAACAACAACACCATTTACAACTGTAACAGTCACCACAAGGCCAACATCGACAACAAGTATTAATACTCTTGTAAGTTCTTTTATATTTTATTCTACACGAATATAAATCTATCTGTCGACAGTTGACAACAACTGGTATTGTGGTAACAACAACAACTCCTCCTACAACAACTGCAGCAGCACTCACAACTACTTTATCTTTGACTAGTGAGGACAATTTCTTTACTATGACCATTGTGATCATATGTTCATGTTATTTCTCTTTCGTAGCCGCTACAACCGTTTCAACTACTTCAGGTACAACAAGTGACGCCGTTGTTGTTATCAATCCACACGATCTGGTATGATTTGTCAGATAAATATCACCAACTATCTAAGGTCGTATTTTATGTGTACAATAGGAACAATTATGTCATCATCCGATATTAATTATGAATATTGTCATGATGGTTGTATTTATACCCATACATGCAGTGGTGATGTACGCTGGTTTTACGAAATTCTCAAATATGTTCAATCCTGTGCATAAAAAAGCAAAAGAGAGACATAATCTTCGAATGAGAAGAATCCTCTCACATTAAAAACAGTTTCTTTTTCCTTATTTTACCTAATTTTCAATTGTTTTCTACTTCAGCTAGCAGGATTTCATTTTTGAGTGCTTCTATTTGATCACCAATAAAAATAATCAAGACTTTTCATCGAACAAAGAAAAAAAATTGTTAAAGTCATCACAGTAGTTCGAGTAGAAAATACTTGTCACAACCATCTGTAACAATCACATGTTATATCTCGAAATCCTCACTTACTGATTAATATTTATCTTTTCCCAAGACTTGTTAAACATTAATGGACAATGCATTATAGAATCAGAGGAATGATTAGAACATAGAAGTACCATGTGCTCAAATCTTTTATTCAATGCGTAATTATGCCATTCTTGATGTGAGTATTGGAATTTTTCATTGACATAGATTCGCATCCTTATCACACCTATCGTATCTAAATGTAACTTGTTTTGGACTACAACGAGTTAATTGGTACACAAGTTATACTCGTAGTTGCACTATCTTCTGTATTATAGAATAAAGAATTTGGATCTGATTTTGATTTTAATTAGCATTTTATTCGATTATTTTTCAGTGAACCTTTCAGAAAAAGAATGATTCCATCTTAATTTGATTGGACTTCAATCCCGCCTTGTTTAGCCATGAGTTGACATCAGCCATAAATTGACCAGGTCCACAAATATAGACTTGTCTGTTAAGCAAGTCAGAAACATTCATCAGATCATCATATTGAATTCTTCGATTATATACTTCGAGCGAGTTAGTCTTATGAGATGCATTGACACGAGTAGAATCGAACATGGATATATTTGAAACGATGGAAGATGAAAGAAAATCTTGGAGTAAATCTTTTTCATCGCCACGACCAGAAAATAGAAGAACAAGATCAGTCGTTCGCTTTGTTTGAGATAATGCTTCGAGCATGGCTATGAACGGTGTAAGACCAATACCACCAGCAATAAAAAGGAGTTTTTCAGGAACCTGATATGTTTCATCAAAACATGTAAATTCGCCTCCGACACCAATGAATTTACAATCCAATGGTAATCCTCGATTACTTGATAGAGAATGTAATAGAGAAGATATGGTACCATTGGGTAAATGCTTGATAGTGCACGATACTCTATTTACAGGTTCGAACGTATTCAAATCGTAATTGAATGGAGGTGATGAGGAAATAGTCCATGTTCGAATATAATCATCATTGACTGACTGAGGATTACTATTGTTCATATGTTGATATCCATGTTGAATCAAATGAGCAAAATCGAGAATGACATATCCACCAGGTTTAAACGAAACATTTTCGTTCAATTCAAAAGTAAATTTTGAAATATGGTTTGTTAATTTCTTGATTTCGATTAATTTCGCATTACTTGTCGATGTTTTCAAAGATCTACCCATTCGCTCAAGTTCAGTGGCTAAATAACGAACAGGTGGATTATACGGAGAATATTGTTCCGGACCAACTAACATCAGATTCAGCGCTGCTTTGATCCATACATATCCAGTTAATTTAATCCTCGTGATAAGAGTCATACGAGGCATAAGACATTCAGCATCATCATCATAAAGATTTTCAGCTATGCCAGTGACATGCAACATGTCGCCAGTAGTAAAACAAGGAAATGCCACACCAGCAACTCGATCGGTTTCGATATTTCCGAGAGATTGATAAAATCGATTTCCTGAATAATCTGGAATAACAATAAACGTATGTCCGTTCTCTTCGTAAGTTCGAACAAATCCAGGGGGTCCACCACGTTGATTTAGTCCAAGATCCGAAGTATTGTTAGAGACTTTGCTCGTATGACGAGTAGCGAGAAAGATTGTGCTAGCTTGATTGATAATACCTAAGCATTCTTGATTCAGACAAATCACGTCGGTATGTCGATGATCAGCCGCTACTTGTGGACTTCTTTTGTAAAACTCTAATCGTCTGACTGTAATGTATTTTGGACAATTTCCTAAACTTTCATTGGTTATCAAAGACATATTCAGAATATTGTCGACAAGGTTGGACGCAGCAATATATCCAGCTACTTTATTTCTTCGACGATTACTGAAATCAACACCAATTCCAGCAAAATACCGATGAGTTGCATTAGTTGTGTTCATAACACTGGATAAAAATGGATCACCTTCTGGTAGAACAGCCGAAACATCTAGTTGCATTTCCGATACAGCACGAATAAGTGTGGTAGACGAACCAACAATAATTGTTGGCCAGGGTCTTCCATCAAGATCAACGGTGCAAATACCAAAATAACTTAAATGTGTAAAAAATTCTGAATGTTGATCTGGCATATCGTCAGAAATCATTTGTGACACAATCATAGACATGTTTGGTGGCACATGTCTCTTCTTTTGAACATGAAGTTCTCCTTCGTGTTGATAATGTACTTTTGTACGCATCATCATAAATCTTGAGAGAAGGACGTTGATCAATGTTATCGTTTATATATAGGTCTATGTATTTTCTGCTGAGTCATACCAAACAGAATAGAAAGAAAAAATGTCTTGTCATAGATATTGTATCATATTCATTCGTTGAGAAGTGTTGGAAATGTTGCGAAGTCTACATACGGATATGATGACAAGTTCTTTTTCTTTATTCAGATGCAGAATATCTTATTGTTTTTTCTCTATACCTTAGTTATTCTATTTCGAATATATTTTATAATAAGACAGTGTTCTTCCATTGTTCTCTTCTACATCCTCTCTATGTACACGTAATTGTATTGTATTATGTCTGTAGAGGTCCTTAGTTCGTGTCTTATGAATTGAAAGTAAGAAGGTAAAGACGGAGAAGTTCGCAANAAGTTCTTTTTCTTTATTCAGATGCAGAATATCTTATTGTTTTTTCTCTATACCTTAGTTATTCTATTTCGAATATATTTTATAATAAGACAGTGTTCTTCCATTGTTCTCTTCTACATCCTCTCTATGTACACGTAATTGTATTGTATTATGTCTGTAGAGGTCCTTAGTTCGTGTCTTATGAATTGAAAGTAAGAAGGTAAAGACGGAGAAGTTCGCAATGTATTTCTGTAGATTTTTGGTAAAGCATGAGAGTTCAGATATTGACATTACAAATTATAAGATTCGGAAATACCGGGCAAGAGAGCTGTGAAGATGTAAGAAAGTTGTCAAGGAACTCCCGCAGTCATTTATTGTTTTTATTAACTGCCGTATTGTAACAATCTCTAAAAGATTCGAGCAAAAGATCCATTTTTGAACACTTCGTCATTAAGTAGAATGTTTAAATGAAATGTATATTCGTACGAAAATAGTGACATATATCGATCGATATCCTAAGACTATTTTAATTGAGAAAAAGTATCGTTCTGTTTCAAATATGTCAATATAATTCAGCACAGTTGAGATTCGACTCGCCAGCAACTAATGCTTTCCCATTCAATAATACATATATTGTATGTCGATATCGAGCAGCACTCTTATTTTCAGACTTCCACAACGTTGCAATAATGAGAAAAAATAACATTCTTATCTGAAAGAGTAAATTGAAATGAATAAACTGCACAGGTTGTTTACAACTGACTACAACTCCATCTAAGTGTTGGAGAAATTGGATATTATTTATGATTATCAGGAAAAAAACGACATCTAGTGTATGCAATTTCTTGAGATGCCTTGGAGAACAGCTGCCATAATGTAAATCGCTTAACAAATCTCGAGTACCCTTACACAGGCAAGGACTGCAAGTTTTAATCAACCAGTCGTAGTGCACTAACACACGAACGAACATCAACTCGACGCATTACGCTTCCCTCCTTTGTGGTGATTCTGAACACGAAAATCGCCACGCAGTATTGTATTAAACAAATTGAAGAGCCAAAGTAGGGTCAGTGCATGAGAATGGAGATTTATTGAATAGAGTGTTATAGGATCAGAATATTTCATAGTTAAATTCAGAGTACAAATTGTATTTGTATTTGCGCATCTCTGGCAAATCGGCTACATGGGGTTGCAATCTGGTTGAATTATGCAAACAAACTCCATGCACTTTGATGACTGTATTTATCACGCTATAACTCTTTCTTTCGGAAAAGGGAATTACAGCTTTTTTGCATTTTATTTATGTGACACCCAAAGGCGCTTACATAAAGGGGAATTACAGTGTCAAAACTTATAAGAAGAATTTTTATTCTTCCGGCTTTTTGGGAGACCGGCGTTTCGGGTGTACGATTGTAGTACCAAGATGAATCATACTGAGCAATTGGTTTTGTTATTTTCAAACCGGGCCGAAAAAGTACGTCTTTTGCGCTGAGAGACGAATAGCCAACCAAGAAGATCATCTTGTCGCTCGACCGGTCATGGGTTTCATTCTGAATTTGGGCGGTTGAATATGATACTGGACTCATACGTGCATTCTGATGAAGAGCACGAATCAAGACTTGAATCTATCAATTCTTTGGCCAATGTTACAGAATTATCAAAAGGTGGAGTAATCGTAGCATAAGGTGGTGATTTTTCCGTTAACCCAATCATGTATAAGTTGTCTGCTGCTTTCCATTTCCCCTTAACTTGAAAATAAGTTCCAGGAAGAAGAAATATTTCATTCTCTTCTTCAAAATATGAATGTAATCGAATAGATTTTCCATTTTCACATTCAATAATAAAAACCGTTCGAATATCATCAGTTCCAATAAAATTTTCCATGACATTCATTGTTCCGGTACACGAACTCATACCCCATCAAAAGTGATCTTCTTCAACATATTTATCAGTTAAATTTCCTTTAACGCCGCGATAAATCACACCTTTAATTGATGGTAGCTTATACAATGCGGTAAAAAATAACTTTAAAAATGAAAACCACGACTTTAATGTACTGCGATGTTTTGATCGGAGATTTTTATTTAGAATATAATATAGACTTTGATCAGATGGCGACCATTGCATTGTATATAAATGGATTGCATCTGACCCATCTTGTGTTAATTCATTCGCAGGATTTCGACAATTCCGTTTTGCTACTTCAACCATTGATTCCCAATCGTCTTTCAGCGATGAATGAAACTCTCCTTAAAATATTTCTTATTTTTCACAATGTGAAAATAAAATTTATCGATCTTCAGTTACACTTTATATAGTTGAAAGAATAGGAAGAAAGAGAATGAAATATTATTCTTTCCTTCTGTCTAGCAATTGTTTATGGTGTGCATCTTTTAAAAAAGCTATTAAAAAGCAGAATTTTCATCTTTTTCTTTCCATAGGAGAAAGATCAAGCGATTTTTTGCAGCGTATTTTGTACGACTAAGCAGTGTTTACTCCAGTTTTTTTGGCACCAAGGTGATGCATTCACCCGTCCGAGGGCAGACAGAAGCTTCATTAATAAACAAACTTTTTGAAGCAGTTCTTTTGAGAACTGCTTTAACATTCACAAATATGATTTCACTAGTGTCACGTCCAACTGACACATTCAGTTGCCCATGCAGCCGATTTCCCGAAATAATGTGCATTATTATAAAAAAGATAAAATCCTTTTTTACGCTCGATCTCCTCGCATCATCTAGCCTCAATACCTCAGCCAGAAGATGTCTCTTTGAGCTTTAAGCAAACTCAAACCTATGCACTACTGACCTCGCTCTACTACAAACATCACTCAGTCTTCCTCGGCCCTCAACACTCCTCCCAAGCAATGTTCTATTATATTTTGAGGATTTGCGTATATGTTTACCCTGACACAAACACACATACAATTTCTTTTTCATATGCCTCTCCTTTCAGTCGACAGATATTCTTAATCGTTCACAATGACCAAGACTAATTTTTACTAAGAAACGACTGAACGACGCGAGAAATGAACTTACTGCTCAAATGGCATTTGTAGTACGTTGGACAAAATATGTGTAGAAGAGATGATACATCGAGTGTATTGAATAGAAAGTCCATGAGTATGATGCAAATATAGTCTCAAGATCGTTAAGCTGATGTTCCTTGGGTTTTCATCTGTCGATTCATTCGCTCTTTGTCACTGAAAACGAACAGAACAATGAAACAAATGATAAGTCTGAAAAGCTTTCTGATAACCACGCTCTTACATTATTTTTTTGCTAATAACGAACAATGAGGGTGACAGTGATGATGCATAATCATTTGTTTTGATAAAAAGCGTAATTATCTGCTTCTTCAAACTATTCCAAAACGTCACGAATCGCCTCACGGTTTTATTCTCCTCTTCGAAAGAAAAAAACTAGGTCTGCATTCGTACAAACGTTAACTTCAAGTCGAGCACTAGTAAAATAGTTCACCAGTTGAATTGTGCACTAACAATTACTATTGTACCAATGTCAGCGATCAATTTTCGTTTCGACTCGTTTGGTTTCGCATGTAATCTTTATGTTTTTAGCCGACCAAGTCTCAGAAATCAACCATGTTCATAATATACTTTTTTAGCTGATCATAATCAAGGTATCTGTCGAGTGGAGTCTTTTGCATTTTATGTCGTTCGTGTAGTTGCTAATTGTCTGCGCTTCTGTTGATCGATACTTACACAGTTCACCCACCATCCGTCCGTGTCAACTGAGTAGGACAAAAACAACACAATTAGCAATTGGGTTCGTTCCTGCCTTCTTTGTTAAAATCTATTCTCATCTGATTGTCTACCATACGAGATTGCGAATTCGCCAAACTCATTTAGAAATATTGTACCGATGTGTAAAAGCTGAAAGTGTATTGATCGCACTTTTATTGCATTTTGCCGTATGGTTTGGTATTCCTTATGTCCATCATTGTTGATGCTTCTCTTCGGCTGTTTAACATTGCATCATATTCGCTACCGCCGGCGAGTTCAGCCATTGGATAGTCAACATAATCATGAGATTCACCGTACGAATCGTCAGTTACTACGCATGTTAACTCTCCAAGTCGTCGTCGTCGTTATCGTTTCAACATCACCATTTTATCTCTATAGACTGCATAAAAGCGTATTTTTTCCATTCGACTTCTTCGTTGTTGTTGATAGTACAATGGAAATTACTTGAGTATATTCAGCATTCTAAAGGATGCGCAACGTTAACAGTATGCGATCAATAAATTTATTGAAGAAAATAAAAGCCATACAACTTTTTGACAACAACAGCAAATTATCAGCAGAAGAAAAATATTTTCCTCTATTTAGTTTTCTTCCTCACACCTCGAGTAAAGCAATGACACGTATTCAGAAAGATATCTATGGTTTTAAGTTTCTTATTCATACTGATGATATCTTGACAATTATCATTGTTAAAATCATTTACATCAGTCCAAACTCCAACACTGTCAATTTCATTCAAATAAATAATATGTGCTCGAAAGTTGCCATTTTCGTCTCCAAGAAAACCATAGATCATATATGGGAAACGGCTGGTAACAATGATGTCTGGATAATTGTCACCATTTAAATCAGATACAACGGCTGATTCAGACCGTAACATTGACTCTAAAACAATCTGTTCACGTACGTGAAAAGAACCGTTACTGTATCGGTATGACATGAAGATAGTATTTGTCCAAGAGCGGAGAAATACAATATCAGATTGATTACCTCCGAGAAAATTACCGTGCACAATATTAGAATGTTGAAAGTTCATTGAAGTGAAGAACCATTGATGTAAATGGAAACTTCCATGATTACTTCCAAAAAATACATGCATAAAAGCAGAATAATGATCCATTACAGCAATATCGAGATGGTTATCGCCATTAAAATTAGCAAGAAATATCTTTCCAGCGCTACTTCTCCTTCCTGCAAATAGTTTCGATTGTAACGAAAAATTTCCAGTACCATCTCCAAAGTATATATAAATATATTCACCACCTGCCAGTATAATATCCAACTGATTATCCTGATTAAGATCAGCTAAAATAGAATGAGATATGTAGTGGTTCGTACTTATTGATTGCCTGTGTTGTGTTTGAGATGTTCCATTACCATTGCCGAATATAGAGATGATACTTAACGCATAAGTATTATAAACTAAAACCAGATCGAGTCGGGTATCATTATTTATATCACCAACGTGAATGTCTACCGCGCCGAGAACCTCAAATAGAGAGACGATCGGTGTTTGAAATGTGCCATCGCCATTACTGAGGAGTACATTTATCGTATCATTCTCTATGCAAACTAAAATCAAATCAACTCGTCTGTCATTGTTTACATCAACAACAGTAGCTAGATCTCTTAGTGGCCCTAGACATAGCACATTCATTGACAGTCGATTAAATTTAGGTAGACATATTGGTTCTGAAAATAGGAAGTAGAAAAAATCAAAAGATGATATATGTTATAATCACCTGATGTAGTCGACGACATTGGCATTATTGTTGAATTGGAACGATTATCTATTGATGCGGTTGGCAACGAATCTAATAAGGAAAAGTTTAGGGCTTGTTTTCATGAATATTTTTACCTTGTCGAATATATTGTACTGAAAAGAGTAGAAAACCTCCGGATATATACAGTAATAGTATAATTGTAAATGTGACTTTGATGAGTGATCGACTATGGAGCATAATAGAAAAGTTTTTCATAACAAAGTGAGAGAGAACGTATTACTGGCATATTGAATTCGTTGGTGTTGTCTTATTTTCGTCGGAATTGGAGTTGACATGAGACGAATCTGGAACTGAATCCGTTGCACCAATAGAGTTCGCTGGATTCTTTCGTTTGTTATAAATCCAAAATCCAATTCGTATAAGTTTCGGGCAGATCCATTTGAGAACAATCGACAAACCACCTTGAAGACCTAGTACGGCAGCAATGATAGAGAAGATATTGAATCGTTGAACGCTGATATAAAAACATATCGAAGGTGAACATTGTTCATAATAAGAAGAGTAATTCACGTCTGTCGACCAGTTTTCAATAAATAAATTCCTTTTCAGCTCATCTATGGTCGTGTTTTGTGAAAAACTACTGTTTGACATCTGAAGAGGTGTTATAGAGAAGTTGTAGTTTGTATGCGTTTGTATGAGATCAAGGCATGATTGATTATAAAAGCATTGAAGAGTTGAAGCAAGAAATGATTCACTTGGAGTACANAAGTTCTTTTTCTTTATTCAGATGCAGAATATCTTATTGTTTTTTCTCTATACCTTAGTTATTCTATTTCGAATATATTTTATAATAAGACAGTGTTCTTCCATTGTTCTCTTCTACATCCTCTCTATGTACACGTAATTGTATTGTATTATGTCTGTAGAGGTCCTTAGTTCGTGTCTTATGAATTGAAAGTAAGAAGGTAAAGACGGAGAAGTTCGCAACGTATTTCTGTAGCTTTTTGGTAAATCATGAGAATTCAAATATTGACGTTACAAATTATGAGATTCGAAAATACCGGGCAAGAGAGCGGTGAAGATGTAAGAAAGTTGTCAAGGAACTCCCGCAGTCATTTCTTGTTTTTATTAGCTGTCGTATTGTAACAATCTCTAAACGATTCAGGCAAAAGATTCATTTTTGAACTCTTCATCATTAAGTAGAATGATTAAATGAAATGTGTATTCGTACGAAAATAGTGACATATACCGATCGATATCCTAAGACTATTTAAATTGAGAGAAAGTATCGTTCTGTTTCGAATATATGAATATAATTCAGCACAGTTGAGATTCGACTCGCCAGCAACTAATGCTTTCCTATTCAATAATACATATATTGTATGTCGATATCGAGTAGCACTCCTATTTTCAGACTTCCACAACGTTGCAATAACGAGAAAAAATAACATTCTTATCTGAAAGAGTAAATTGAAATCAATAAACTGCACAGGTTGTTTACAACTGACCATAACTCCATCTAAGTGTTAGAGGAATTAAATATTATTTATGATTATCAAGAAAAAACGACATTTAGTGTATGCAATTTCTTGAGATGTCTTGGAGAACAGCTGCCATAGTGTAAATCGCTTATCAAATCTCGGGTACCCTTACACAGACAAGAGCTGCAAGTTTTAATCAACCAATCGGAGTGTACGAACACATGAACGCGAACATCAACTCGACGCATTACGCTTCCCTCCTTTGTGGTAATTTGGAACACGGCAATCGTCAGGCAGTGTTGTATTAAACAAAATCAAGACCCTAGATAGAGTCAGTACATGAGAATGGAGATTTATTGAATAAAGTGTTGTAGGATCGGAATATTTCATAGTTAAATTCAGAGTACAAATTGTATTTGCGCATCGCTGGCAAATCGACTACATGGGTTGCAATCTGGTTGAATTATGCAAACAAACTCCATGCATTTTGATGATTGTATTTATCACGCTATAACGCTTTCTTTCGGAAAAGGGAATTACAGCTTTTTTGCGTTTTATTTATGTGACACCCTGAGGCGCTTACATAAAGGGGGATTACAGTTTCAAAATTAGAAGAAGATTTTTTATTCTTCCGGTTTTTTGGGGGACCGGCGTGTCAGGTGTATGAACACATTACCAGATGAATCAGACTGAGCAATTGATTTTTTTGTTTTAACACCGGGCCACATTACTATCGGTGATTCCTTCTTCGGGAAATAATCGGTTACGTCTTTTGCGCCGCAAGACGAATAGCCAACCAAGATCTTCTTGTTGCTCGACCAGTCATGGATATCATTCTCAATTAGGGTGGTTGAATATGATACTGAACTCATACCTGTACATTCTGATGAAGAGCACGAATCAAGACTTGAATCTATGAATTCTTTGGCCATTGTTAAAGAATTATCAAAAGGCGGAGTAATCGTAGCATAAGGTGGTGATTTTTCTCTTAACTGAATCATGTATAAATTGTCTGCTGCTTTCCATTTCCCCTTAACTTGAAAATAAGTTTCAGAAAGTAGAAGTATTTCATTCTCTTCTTCAAAATATGAATGCAATCGAATAGATTTTCCATTTTCACATTCAATAATAAAAATCGTTCGAATATCTTCAGTTCCAATAAAATTTTCCATGACATTCATTGTTTCGGTACACGAACTCATACCCCACCAAAAGTGATCTTCTTCAACATATTTATCAGTTAAATTTCCTTTAACGCCACGATAAATCACACCTTTAATTGATGGTAGCTTATACAATGCGGTAAAAAATAACTTTAAAAATGCAAACCACGACTTTAATGTACTGCGATGTTTTGATCGGAGATTTTTATTTAGAATATAATTATAGACTTTTATCAGATGACAACCATTGCATTGTATATAAATAGATTGCACCTGACTCATCTTGTGTTAATCCATTCGCAGGATTTCGACAATTCCTTTTTGCTACTTCAACCATTGATTCCCAATTGTGAATTGATGGTTTGATTGATTGAACAGCTTCTTTTAATGAAACAAGTGGACATTTCTCATAGCCTTCTAGAGGAGTTAAAGCTTGATTTGGTTCTTCATTCGCATCAAGAAATCGTTCTGGAATAATTCTTTCTGCCATGAATGAAACTCTCCTTAAAATAATTTCTTATTTTTCACAATGAAAATAAAATTTATCGATCTTCAATTACACTTTATATACTTGAAAGAATAGGAAGAAAGAGAATGAAATATGATTCTTTCCTTCTGTCCAGCAATTGTTTATGGTGTGCGTCTTTTAAAAAAAGCTATTAAAAAGTAGAATTTTCATCTTTTTCGTTCCATAGGAGAAAAATCAGGCGATTTGTTGCAGCGTATTTTGTACGACTAAGCAGTGTTTACTTCAGTTTTTTTGCACCAAGGTGATGCATTCGCTCGTCCGAGGGCAGACAGAAGCTTCATTAATAAACAAACTTTTTGAAGCAGTTCTTTTGAGAACTGTTTTAACATTTACAAATATGATTTCACTAGTGTCACATCCAACTGACACATTCAATTGTTCATGCAGCCGATTTCCCGAAATAATGTGCATTATTATAAAAAGGATGAAATCTTTTTTTACGCTCGATCTTCCATGGTCAACGTTCTTACGATCTCCTCGCATCATCTCACCTCAATACCTCAGCCAGAAGATGTCTCTTTGAGCTTTAAGCAAACTGAATCTTATGTACTACTAACCTTGCTCTACTACAAACATCACTCAGTCTTCCTCAACACTCCTCCCAACCAATTTTTTATTATATTTTGAGGATTTGCGTATATGTTGACCCTTGACCCTGACATAAACACACATACAATTTCTTTTTCATATGGCTCTCCTTTCAGTCGAGAGATATTCTCAATCGTTCACAATGACCAAGACTAATTTTTACTAAGAAATGACTGAACGATGCGAGAAATGAACTTACTGCTCAAATGGTTTTTGTAGTACGTTGGACAAAATACGCCCAGAAGAGATGATACATCGAGTGTATTGAATGGAAAGTCCATGAGTATGATCCGAATATAGTCTCAAGATCATTCAGCTGATGTTCCTTGGGTTTTCATCTCTCGATTCATTCGCTCTTTGTCACTGAAAACGAATAGAACAATGAAACAAATGATAAGCCTGAAAAGCTTTCTGAATTACGGTCTTACATTATTTTTCTTGCTAATAACGAACAACGAGGGTGACAGTGATGATGCATAATCAGTTGTTTTCATAAAAAGTGTAATTATCTGCTTCTTCAAACTATTCCAAAACGTCACGAATCGCTTCACGTTTTTTATTCTCGTCTTCGAAAGAAAAAAACCTAGGCCTGCATTCATACAAACGTTAACTTCAAGTCGATCATTAGTGAGATAGTTAATCAATTGAATTATGCACTAACAATTAGTATTGTACCAATGTCAATGATCAATTTTCGTTTCGACTCGTTTGGTTTCGCATGTAATCTTTGTGTTTTTACTCGACCAAGTTTCGGAAATCAACCATGTTCAATATACTTCTTTAGCTAATCATAATCAAGATATCTGTCGAGTGGAGTCTTTTGCATTTTATGTCATCCGTGTAGTTGCTAATTGTCTGCACCTGTATTGATCGATACTGACACAGTTCACCCACCATCTGTCTGCGTCAACTGAGTAGGAGAAAAACAACACACTTGGCAATTGGGTTCGTTCCTGTCTTCTTTGTTATAATATATTCTCATCTGATTGTCTACTATGAGATTATGAATTCGGCAAACTCGTTTGGAAATATTATATCGATGTGTAATAGGCGAAAGGATATTGATCGCATTGTTATTGTATTTTGACATATGATTGTATGTTCATTACATCCATCATTAGTGATGTTTCTCTTCGGTTGTGCAACATTGCATCGTATTCGCTACCGTCGGCGAATTCAGCCATCGGATAGTCAACATAATTATGAAATTCACCGTACGAATCGTCAGTTACTACACATGCTAACTCTTCAAGTCGTCATCGTTATCGTTTCAACATCATCATTTTATCTCTATAAATTGCATAGAGGCATAATTGATCCATTCGACTTCTTCGTTGTTGTCAATAGTACAATGGAAATTACTCAAGTATATTCAGCATTCTAAAGGATGCACAACGTTGACAATATGCGATCAATAAATTTATTGAAGAAAATAAAAGCCATACAACTTTTTGACAACAACAGCAAATTATCAGCAGAAGAAAAATATTTTCCTCTATTTAGTTTTCATCCTCACGCCTCAAGTAAAGCAATGACACGTATTCAGAAAAATATCTATGGTTTTAAGTCGCTCAGTCATACTGATGATATCTTGACAATTATCGTTGTTAAAATCCTTTACATCAATCCAAAATGCAACACCGTCAAATTCATTCAAATAAATAGTATGTGTAAATATAGTATGTGCTCGAAAGTTGCCATTTCCGTCTCCAAGAAAACCATAGATCATATATGGAAAATATCTCGTAACAACGATGTCTAGATAATTGTCACCATTTAAATCAGATACAACGGCTGATCCACACCCTAACTCTGATTCTAAAACAATTTGTTCACGTACACGAAAAGAACCGTTACTGTATCGATATGACATGGAGATAGTATTTGTCCAAGAGCGGAGAAATACAATATCAGATTGATTATCTCCAAGAAAGTTACCGTGCACAATACAAGAATGTTCAACGTTGACTGAAGTGAAGAACCATTGATGTAAATGGAAACTTCCTTGATTACTTCCAAAAAATACATACATAAAAGCAGAGTGATGATCCATTACAGCAATATCGAGATAATTATCGCCATTAAACTTAGCAAGAAGTATTTTTCCAAATATAATTCTCCTTCGTACGAATAGTTCCGATTGTAACGAAAAATTTCCAGTACCATCTCCAAAGTATATATAAATATATTCTCCATCGCTTGTCAGTATAATATCCAACTGATTATCCTGATTAAGATCAGCTAAAATAATATGAAATATGCGATGGTTCGTACTTATTGATTGCCTGTGTTGTGTTTGAAATGTTCCATTACCATTCCCGAATATAGAGACGATATTTAACGCAGAAGTCTCATAGACTAAAACCAGATCGGGTCGGGTATCATTATTTATATCACCAACGTGGATGTCTACCACTCCGAAAAGCTCAAATAGATAAACGATCGGTGTTTGAAATGTGCCATCTCCATTACTGAGGAGTACATTTATCGTATCACTCTCTGTGCATAATAAAATCAAATCAACTCGACTGTCATTGTTTACATCAACAACAATAGCTAGATCTCTTAGTGGCCCTTGACATAGCACATTCATTGACAGTCGATTAAATTTAGGTAGACATATTGGTTCTGAAAGTAAGGAAATAGAAAAGATCAAAAGATGATATGTGTTATAATCACCTGATGTAGTCGACGACATTGGCATTATTGTTGAATTGGAACTATTATCTATTGATGCGGTTGGCAACGACTCTAATAAAGAAATGTTTCGCGATTGTTTTCATGAATATTTTTACCTCGTCGAATATATTGTACTGAAAACAGTAGAAAACCTCCGGATATACATAGTAATAGTATAATTGTAAATGTGACTTTGATGAATGATCGACTATGGAGCGTAAGAGAAAAAGTTTTCATAGCAAAGTAAGAGAGAACGTATTACTGGTATATTGAATTCGTTGGTGTTGTCTTATTTTCGTCGGAATTGGAGTTGACATGAGACGAATCTGGAACTGAATCTGTTGTACTAATAGAGTTCGCTGGATTCTTTCGCTTGTTATACATCCAAAATCCAATTCGTATAAGTTTCGGGCAGATCCATTTGAGAACAATCGACAAACCACCTTGAAGACCTAGTACGGCAGCAATGATAGAGAGGATATTGAATCGTTCAACACTGATATAAAAACATATCGAAGGTGAACATTGTTCATAATAAGAAGAGTAATTCACGTCTGTTGACCAGTTTTCAATAAATAAATTCCTTTTCAGCTCATCTATGGTTGTGTTTTGTGAAAAACTACTGTTTGACATCTGAAGAGGTGTTATAGAGAAATTGTGGTTTGTATGCGTTTGTATGAGATCAAGGCATGATTGATTATAAAAGCATTGAAGAGTTGAAGCAAGAAATGATTCACTTGGTGTACATCCCATCTTCATGCCATGGACAGAAAAGTTTCTTACTCGATTTCCTTCAATGAAAACTGCTTGAGTTGTACATGTAGGAGACTTTCCACATGAACATTGATCATCATACACAATACCTTGTGTAGGTAAATATGAATTGTAAATTTTATTCGCTGGAAGAACGTATTCAAAATTTGTTTCGTAAGTTGAAATCAAAGCATTTCCATGGCTGAGACTTTGAATGAAGGGCAAAAGACGAGAGACTAATATAGGAGCACTGGATTTACTCTGCTCAATAGTCGTATTCAGATGAATGTCGAACTGATTTTTGGGGAGAAGTTCCACAGTGATCAATAATGAGGTTAAAAATTCATTGATCGAATGCTGTACCGATTGTTCAGATATATTACATAATTTTTGAAGATAGTATAAATGCGCTGGAAGAAACCGACGATAATCTCTTCGATTAAATAAGGTAAAATTAGGAACAAGTCCATTCACTAAATCCAAGCGCCATTCTTCAGAGACGAAATTACTTCTACAAACCTGAGAAAACAAATAACACAAAACAGGGTGATGGAGAGAAGAGTTCAAATCTTGACTGTGTTCCTTACCGAATGGAATATCGTTTCGATTTTGACGAATCGATCGTATGTCGATGCTATTTGTGAACAGGAACATTTCAATTGATCGCCATAGATCTTCCTCAAACGATTATAATAAAACAAATCTGGTTTGAGATAAGTTGTTCGTGATGGTCTTGGTTGAACTATTGTGTAAAATATCAGAATAGTGTGGCTGGCAATGAGTAAAAGTATATAGAGACGAGTTGCCCATCGTCCGCAACGCTTTGCCGTTTCCCGATCTATATAACTTCCAAAATCGCGTAATGGAAAGATATTCAATGTAACTAACGTAGCTCGTAGAAGTTTAATTAAATTGCGTATCCACGTCTTCAATCGATCGAGAATACTACGATGTACTAGAACTAAAGTTTCATTGTGTTAGTTCTTCTACATTTTAAACATAAAAAATAAAACTCGATTATGTGTGTATATCCCGCATAATCTCAAAAAAACGAAGTTTCACTCTGATACTCTTTTTCAGAAAGCATATTGACAAAAGAATACCAGCTAAATACTGTTCTGTTGTAGTTTTATCAGAGAAGTTCATACCTGGTTCTGTTTGTCTTGTCGTTTTACTACATCTAGCGTGTAATTTGAAAATGACTTGAACAAGATGCGGTGTTAAGAGTTTCAATACAATGACAATACTACTCATCATGGATATCAATATTATAATTACACCAATGAAATCATTATTACGAGTTCTTTCAGGATAAGAACAATAATTGGGTGCACACGATTTATAGAACTGTTCGTATGATAGAGAAGGATTCCATTGTTCGATCATTAGTTTCTTAATGATTGTAGAAATGGATGTGTTCGGAGGATAATGACTCGTTTTTGGATCATAGAAGAGAGGTTGTGGACGCAATGATGAAGATACATTGTGGAACCGAGTTTCTCCTAGTTGTATATGGCTCATGAAATTCAGAAAGTCATCCGAATTCATATACACAAGTTGTAAAGTCGAAAGTAGGAGAGAATCAAAAGTGAAGCATCCTTGCATCCAGCCAGATATATTGTAAATATCATTCGTGATGTTACCCATCCTGGTAGAATGATATATATGTGCTATATCTGCACAGTTTGGATTGATAGCACAAACACAGATAAACCGCTTTGAACTCATTTCTTTGATTCCATTCAAAATAAATTGCACCTAAAAGTAAGAGTATTCATAGTGATATTTTTGTGTTAATTGATTCAGGGATAAGATTCGCATCTTGGATCATTTCAACAATAGTCTCGAATGTAATTGCACATAAAGATACATGGATTTATGTTCTCAACAGTTTGCCAAGTCGCATTCTGTTGTGTAAAGCTATGCAGACAAAACTAAAGAGCTTATCGCTATGTATACTGCGAAATAAGCTCCTATCGTCTAAAAATGAACGTACTTGAAATGTGTGGCCGTTTGTTTCGTTAACTACTGTATGCAACATCAGACCAGATTTTGGTCTGTCTAGTGGCCATGTGATACCACCCACATACGGCTGATCAATTTGCATAATTAGATGTACAACATCTTTCAGCAGATCAAAGTTGTAAAACGTTGATTGATATAACTGAGTAAGACTCGTATTTAATTGTAGATAAAAGTTAGTCTCATTCAAAGCAGAAGAAGCGATAAAGAATTGTAAAAGATATTGATCAATCGCATCGTTAATTGTTTCATTAGCCTGTTGACAAAGACCAGACAAGATTGCAAACTGCGTGTATGCTAAAATGTTCCAACTGGTATTGGCTGCCCAGTGTGCAAGATATTTTAACATTGTAATCCAATCGTCAAGAACGAAAATACTACGGCAGATTTGATGAAGAATTGGAAAGAAGGAGATGAATGATCGATGAGGTATCGCTTGCTTAGAACACGGACATTGAAGTTCTGTCGAATATTTGACATCTAATGATTGAAAAGTTGATAATGAAGGTTTTAGTTCAATTACTATCGTTGTTGTACTGCTCAGCGATGCGAATAGACAGAGAGCACATATCGAACCTAGAATATTTCAAAGAAACAGATTTGAGTGTGTATATTGACGTATCCTATACAATCTATGTAGTGAGAATAAGACTTACCAAATAATAAAATCAAATATACTCGCGTGGTGATTCGTTGCTGTCTGATACTGTTTTCTGTTCGATCATGGATATTTTTGAATAAATTCAACTCTTTTATGAACTGCACAGGTTCGAACATGTTTCTTCGTTGTTCGTCTATAATGAAAATTAAGTTTTCTGTCAATGTCATAGGATACATTCTTGTGTATACTCAACTCGAATTTCTGATTGACTTATCTGAATAAGATTTCAATTTGATAAACAGATCGATGGTGCATGATGCAACGAAACGGAGAATGATTATAACACCACCGTAAAGACTAATAAGAAGAGTGATCGTATACGATAAATTTCTTTGATCTTTCATTGTGTAGGTACATGTAGATGGCGAACATTGATGGAAATATGTTGGGTAATCTGTGTTTAATGACCAATTCGTAATGAAAAGAGCTTTGAAATAATTATTGATCGAAATATTTTCATTCTTTGTTGGTAAAATCGAATCGGACCAAGAAATATTTAACTGAAAAAGGAGAAGAAAATTTAACAAACTATGGCACTTTTATTGGACATACTTGATTTAGTTTTGGGAAGGCATGTAACAATAACTGAATACATTTATGATCGTATATACAGTCCAAAGTACTTTCGAGAAGTGCTTCGAGAGGAGTACATCCCGCGAAGAACCCTTTGATAAATTCAGAATTAGGCATCCGTTCCATTTCAGATCTACGCTCGAATCGGATGGGCACTTTTGATGGTGGAGCAATAGTAGCTGGAATGAGTGAATTGACTTTGCTGCATGGTCGTGATTTGCCCGCTTTGGTATAAGTTTGCACATTCATTCCTCCGATCACAAACTCAGGAGCAAAGATGTCTACGATTTGGACTATCCAGTTGGTGCCGAGTGCTGAAACCAAGTAGTGTTCTTGACTTATTGTTTTCCAATAATTCAAAAACGACATTGCCTGATGAAATAATTGATTTTTACGAAAGTCAACCAGATCCTTAACTTGTCGATGAACTTCCGTTTCATAAATGACTTCAATGCTGACAAAGTCGGTATTGTTAATATCGTTTTGAATTTGAACAATATTGTCCTTCGCAAAAGAGCACAATGTTGACAGAAGTTGAAACTAAATGAAAAATACGATTCTACACAAATCCAAAACTGAAATGGTTTACAAAGAGCAATGGTAACCCGATTTCCAGATCGACTTTCACTAACCTGATAATAGGCTGTTGTTCGAAAATCCCACACACCATAAAGACTTGCATTTTCCAGATATAATCTATCCATCCATTGACTATCGATAAAAATACTTGAACAGACCGGATGTATTGTAACATTAATGAAGACAAAATTTTTGTATGGAATTGTACTTATTCTACACGGACATGAAAGTGTTTGATTATATTCAGAATATAATTCATTGAATGTCTTCAGCGTCACTCCGGAAATAAGAATCGTTTTAGATTTTACATTGAGAAGAGAAACATAGAATAGTAGGTAAAGACATACTAAAATATTACATTTGTATAAAAGAATTGAGTAGAAGATATTCACTTCGAATTTCTTACCCATAAGAAGTAAAACATACAAACGAGTTTTGTACTTTTGATGTTTAAGAAGTACAGTTGGATCTTTGATGTTGTTATCGTCATAATCATTTTCTTCTACTATGAAAAGATTATAATTGGATATCTTCTTGTAGATCCATTGAAGATAAATTTTGAAATTCATTCTGCTAAATGAAGTTTTACAAAGCGATAGTTTATTCTGAAATGAAATCAATCGAAAGAAAAAAGTATTCGACGATATTCTTCTACAAGAGATGCATAGAAGTATACACGCTTAGATGGAAAGCATTCCCATCTACTTGACTGCAAAGTTCTCAGTTATAAGAACAAATGGCAAATTTATTTTTATTCATAGAGAGAGACACAGGTTTTGACATTCTCTTGTTTATGGTAAATTTAAAATAGAGAAGATTGATGCTTATATTTATATATTATTCAATGAAAATCATGAACAGAAAATGTTTATTCATTACTTAAAGATTTATTAGACTTGGTTTGCAAGTATTTGCTTAATATTTAATAAATTGAACTCACTTCGAGATGAGAGTAGTGTGGGCTGAAAGTAATAAGATTAGCTATTGAATTCATTTCTACTTTTTCTTCCACATAACTCGTGTTGTCGATATTATTCTCATTCTATTTGTTTATTGCTGTTGACAACGTGATCGTGACTGATGAAAACAATATTTGGATATCTTTATCTTTTGAGATGATGATTAAAAGTAAGAAATGCGATTTAATAACTCTCTTTATCTTATTTTATAAACTATCTACTTGTCATTTATCTTCACGACATCACATCGTTAATTCGCTTTGATCGTTTTCTTCTCCGTTTATCTATCATCACTGCTGTAGTATATTCTAAACCTCTTTCCGTAATGGAAGACTCGGATTCTTTTATTACGGGAGGCAGTTTACAGTAAAACCTCGCTAATCTGAACACCAATAGAGTTTTTACTCGATTAATGGAATACGATTGAATTTTATATTTGAAAACAAATCAAACTGAGAATTCTTCATTAAATATTGATTGATTTTATCTCTGAAGTTAGGAAAATCATGAAATCTAATTTATCCATATTCTTATGTTTTTTATTCAATAAATCAAATAATTTCAAATATATCTGTGAAAATAACGATAAAATCATGTAGACAATACCACAGGTTCATTGAGTTGATTTTGCTGCATGTTCAAAACCGGTACTTCTAGCAATTATGGTTTCTTGAATATCATCAGGAACCAATGCATTACTCGGTGATTTTTCGAATCTGTCACATAAACTGTGCTCATATTGTCGACTAGAATTCCAGTTGGATTGTTTAATTGTGTCAAATTCTTTCCTTGTGTACCACTTCTCGTCATCACTAATCCTCTCATCTTACCTCACATCCATTTTATTACACGATGATTGAGACGTAGACATCATCACCATAAATAAACATTGAGATTGATGTATTTTAATTTATAATCGCAAAGAAGTTTTTCCAAGTCAATTAACCTTTTTATTTGCTTGAGGTGATCTTTGCCCGGCATAGAAATACACATTGATGATAAGTAATGATTTGATTGTAGTAAAACAAATTTTACAATTAATCTGAAATCACCTTTGTCGAGATCAATTATCAAAGATTTCAGACGAGAAAAAAGATGAACATAGAATTTGATTTCATCTAATGAATGCACTCTACTAATTCGAACATGTTTAATCGCGTTTATCTCGAACACTTGTTCAGTTAAAAGCACGTCTATTTTACTAAAACCGAACGCATTGAACTTCAATGTACGAATATTCACTGCGGAAGAAAGCAACTCAAGCATTTGTTTGAACGAGAAACGATCAGAATGAAGAGATAATTTTGTTATTTGTTTCAATGGCAGAATTCGATTCAAACGACTTGCGTCGATGTCAAGAGGTTCATAAAACGTATTACAAAGAGTCAATTGGGTAATATTTGAAAAGAATCCAGTAAAATGTTCTATTGAATCATTTTGTTAACTTCTGAATAATGAATTGACTTCACATTTGATTCATTTAATTGGTCAGACAAAACCTAATGTTTTCGTCTAAATTACAAACACATTTTCAGAAAAAGGCGACAGATATGCTGAGAGTTCCTTTTTTACTTATAACGACTAGTTGAATACAGTAGAGCACAATTGTAATACTTTCGATAGTATTGATGTTTAAAAAACCATTGTCGTTCGAGCCAGAATGTCGAATGGAATTGTTTGACAAAGACTTCATACTTACTCCAATCCACGTTGTCATTCATGGCAGATCATTCATGTTGATAATCAAAAATGCGTACATTTGGTAGAGAATTGATAATCAATTGTTCCCAACTAGTGGCATTTAAGTAATTTGAAGATGGAAGGAAGCTTTCGGACGTTGAAAAACGAAACACTTGAACGTGACGAAAAAAGTCTTGAACTATAACGACTTAAAATCATTGAAACCAAGAAAATGTAATGTAAGATATACAGTGGTTAAGTTACTCAAAGCAACAGATGTATTTCGCACTCGATTACTATTCAGTCCATTAAGATATCCAAGTGAGAGATGATGTAAATGAGAAAGACATGGTAATCAACTACCGAGTCGATTTAATGATATGGAATAATTGATAATTAGATGTGTGATTGGACTGGTCTGATTTGAAGCAAGAGGAAATAAATTTGGAGTTCCTAGAGTAGTTATAGATGTTTGACAGTATTTGAGAAATGGTAATTGCAAGATTTTTTGATAAATCTCATTAGATTCTTTACTATAATCAATTGATTTGATTGTTAATGAAGTTAATAGAATATCAACACTATCACAATAAATGTTATCGACAGTGAAAGATTGAAGTCAAATAAAGTTCGTCATTAGCGAATCGAACGATAGGATCATTTCGACTGCGAATGGATTTAACAAGGAAAAGGAATTTATTCGATGAGAATAGAGAAGGATGATGTGTGTGACAAGATGTTGAAAGCGTCAATTCAGATTAGAAAATGAATGAAATGATTCATTAAAATGTAAATATTCAAAGATTTCTAAAAGAATTTCATTGGGTAAATCTTCGAATTTCATCGTTTCTGGTAAAAACATTTCAACACCACTTAGAAAATAGCAGAATGAAATATTACCGGATAAGTTCTGGTTTTTTGTTACGATAGTTTCTTTCTTTGCTATTCTACTATGAATCTTGAGCGCAATACATTTTATAGGAAATTTTCATTTTTTCCAACATAAAGAAACGGAAAATGTGCGTGCGTGAATTATATTCATGATATCATACAATACTTTACAGCTTCTAATAAGACGAATATGTACGTTCGGAGTCGATTCTTTTACTTTTGAGCAATATCAAATCACGATTCTATGTTGACATATATTTAAGTCGAAGAATATTAGATAGAGACAGTTAAAAGTGATTGTAACGATAATGATATCGTTCATCTCTTTCTGTTCTTTATCCTCTCACCTCTATATCATACTATCTCCGGGTCATATCTCTCTTTCCTCTTCTCTATATAAGCACGTGTCTTATTGTGAAAGAGAGACATTCTGGTCATGTAGAGTAGTCAATAAACATCTATACCGTGAGAAGCGGTCAGCTACTCAACCAGTTTGTCATTACAGTGGTAATAAAGGATTGTATTCGTTCGGTCATACTCGTAAGATCTTTATTGACATGAAATTGTACGGTGGAATCATCTACGACCAGAACGGTGACTATCATCGCCGCAACGATAATGACGAGAAGCTTCTTTCTCACATAGATATCAATGAATAAACGGACGCTTACTACGAGCACGAATCTTAGCACTAAATACACGAGAACGAGAACGGTAAACGATACAGTTAGGATCAGCAGTAAAACTAACTACAACAATCGCTAGAAATTTTACAAGGATGATCGTATTTAACACATTGTCTTGACTGAATGTAAAAACGTAGTGTCATAATTACTAATATAAGAAACATATAGAACACCAGTGCGCATTTGCTCATCTTATAGTTGTTCAAATTGGAGGGATGTTATTGGATATGTAACAGAGACCGGCGGGACGAACGATTTGTCCCGTCCCGTCCCGTCCCGTCCCGTCCTGGGACGGGACGGGACGAAAAATTTAAGACTCGCCGCGGGACGGGACGGGACGGGATGATTTGGGAAAAGCGCGGGAC